GGGAAAAAGAAAAAACAGAACAAAACAAGAACACCAGCCAAGGACTGCTGGCTGAAATAAGTCATCCTGGATTCCTGCTCTATAGGAAGCCTCAATCTATGGACCCACAAGCGACTTTCAAATAAATGCATCTCTATATTGCCGTGATGTAGGCAAATTCTCAGCCGAGCGGGAAGCACTGATGAGGAGGTCAGATTTCGGCTGAAAAGACAAGCTCCACCTTCAGGATGGCCTGGTGCCCCTTGTTCTCCAGGCAGAATCCCCCATATGCAGGTGTGAGCTAGGGCCCCGACACCGGCAACACTTTCTCCAAGCTCAGAGGAGTACTGAGCCGTGAAATCAGTCCCTCTTTCAAAGCATATGCTAATTGATGGCCCTTGACCTTGAAGGCCAGACCTTCCTTCTCTGCTTCAGCTGCAAACAGTGAACCAAGGAAAATGGAGTGAGATGCTTGCTTGGGGCAGACGCCGGGTATGAGAAGAAAAGCTGTCTCAGGCCGCCCTCCACCCCAGCCCCTCACTGCTGCTCAGGAGACCTCCTTGCCCACCTGTGGCAGCCACCCTGCTGGCCGCCTGCCCTCCTGCCCCTCTCAGGACAGTGAACCCACTCCGGAGGCTCTTCTCCTACCCTCCCTCTAGGGCTCACCTGCAAGTGCCTCCCCCAGAGTGGGGTCGGGGGCTGCCACCTGCTCCCTGAACACCTACCCTTCCATCTTTTACACCAGGTTTTCAGAAGCTCTTTATTTTTTGTCTTTCCCCACAGGGCTGTAAGCGTGGTCTTTTATGAAACATTTACATACACACACGTATGATCATATACACAGGTGTGTGATCACAGCACATGGGCTATGGTGAGCTGTATAGGTGGAGGTGTGTGAAATTTTATATCCATGTGTACGACACACATATACTCACCTAAAAAGTATAGATCTATACACACACAAACACAATGTGTATCCTGTGTGTAAATAGGTATAAATATGTCAGATAATACACACCTCTCTGCACCCCACCCTTCCCATCCACAGGACCCCTGGAATCCCCTCCATGTCAATGGACAAAGCTCCAGCTTACTCTGTATAGCGGGTGAAGAATCCTCCCGGTATGGACACACCATCATTTCACCAACCAATAAGCATTCATTTTGTTTCCATGTTTTTTGTTATGAAAAAATACTGCAACAAAAATCCAGCTGGGTGCTGGCAGGCACTTGGCCACCTAGTCTCAAAGTGCGCAAGGCCGCACCCTGGGGAGCCGTGGTAGAAAGGGCAGGGGTGCAGCTACCTCCACCCTTGGCCGAGGCCTGAATCCCAAGACCAGGCAGGTCTGGGCAGCCAGAGAGAAGGCCCAGCTCCTGAGTGCTCAGCTTTGGCCTCTTGAGGGACAAAGGGGCTTTTATCTGAGCACCCCTTTTTCAGTACTTATCTTGGCTCATCAAACAGTAATCACAGCAGTAAGAGTTCTAAAATCAATAATGCTCCTTTGTAAAAAAGGTGTCCTGTTTTGAAAGTGCCACTGGCTCAGCTTCTCTGAGCTTGTCCAAGAACTCAGAGGCTTGTGTCCTGTCCCTAGTGGTTTCCTGAGCCCCAGCAAAGAGCGCACATGTCTTTCTACTCAGACAAGTGGCCGTGCAAAGGCCACAGGGGAGAAGATCGGCATTTTCACCCTACCCAGGATGGAGAAGCCAGAGAGTAGGGGAAGGAGAGGTTTCCTTCAAAAGTCCTTGACTGCAGTTCTTGTCAAACACAGCTTGGGCCATCAAAACCGTTTTTATTCCCCAACTTCCAAAACCCAAAGGCTCCAGAGCCAACCCTGTGTAACCCGCACAGCTGGCATTACATCATATAGAGGCCCCATTTCACTGGCGTGCTCACCTCTAAGAATCAGCAGCTTAACAAGGACCCTCAAAATATTTAACAACCTCCAAACAAGCACCACAGCACTGTGGAGTGGTCCCCCCCCCCCCCCCCCCCCCCCCCGG